ACTGACAAAATCAGAGGAAACAGTGTCACTCTAATACTGAGGCATGGTGTAGCACAAACTGTTATCGGAAGTAATGCAAAGTGACAGCATAATATTGATCAGACCTCTTGGAAAACTAACCAACATGAATGTCATTAAAGTCTATCCTCCAACTACAGAGGCTGAAGAAGAAACATACAGTTAATATTTTTATAAACCAACTCTCAGTAAGAAGCAAATGATTGCAAAGCTTTTTTCTGCAAGTCAAATTGTGTTGTGTAACTTTGCACTAAATAAAAAGTTAATCATGGACATTTATATAAATAAGGTGACCAGATTAATTTAACAAGGACATAATGAAACCCACGTCTAAATATTTGTCTTTGCGTTTTATGTTTATGTTGTTTCACCTCATTTATTAGCTCCTGCAGCTCCTTGTGCAGATTTTTTCCCTCAAATTACTTCTTAGGTTATAAGTGGCATCAAACCCAAACTTTTTCACATGTCATTCAAAATACAAGCACAGATCTCCAGAGTGGCATGAGCAGACATAAGCGCTTATGCTGTAGATTTCTTTCTGGAGCCAGAAACTAAATTTTATTTATTTATTTAAAACATTTTTATCCCGCCTTTCTCCTTAAAAGGACTCAAAGCAGCTTACCTCATTAAAAGACAGCACAAAAGCTAACGGATCCAACAAATACCATACAAAAAAACCATAAGCAACACCAAAGCACATTCAAAGCAGTAAGGTACAAAAATCTATTTAAAACTCCACTCAGGCAGCCAGTCACTCACTCACTCAGAGAAAGCTTGCCTGAAGAGAAAGGTCTTTGCCTGCTTGTGGAAGGACAGCAAAGATGGGACTATTCAGTACTGTCAAGTCAAAACGGACTTACAGTGACTCTAATAGGGCTTTCAAGGTAATTGAAACCTTGAAACTCCCCAAGTGAGTTTCCATACACAAGTGAGGATTCAAACCTTGTTCTCTAGACTCCTAGTTGGTCACTTTTCCCACTGCAGTGGACACTGGGTATCTGAGATAAAGATAGGCACAGACTGAGCATTCTAAGGAAGCCACATTTTTGAATGTAAGAATCAGGCACAATCACAGCTCAGAATGTGTTTTTTTGAAATCCACTATTCATTTCTTTTTACTCTATCTACTGTTTTATTGTTATTGTTATTGTTACTGTTACTAAAAATGTATCAAAAATAGGAAAATGGCCCAAATCCCCTCCCCCCATTTTACAAGTAATCAGTAAAAATTGCTCATTGGACTTTTAAAAGTAACATTATCAGTAGTTACATTGTTTAGCAAAATATCATTAGGTCCACCTTATCCCAGTAATGCATGAGAGGTCATATTTTTGCTTGTAGTGTGTTACTTCCAAGCATTGGGCAAATTGTGTACTCTTTGTTGGGGACACTATGACACTGGTGGAAGGAGTGTACTGGAGTGAGGTGAGTACCCTCCAGTCTCCATTGCCTTACCTCACTTCTAAATGGCTACAGGGCAGCACAGCATTAGTGCTGGATGAAGCATTCTGTATGTATAACATTTACACTATTTTTAAATTTTGTTTATTTATTTATCTATCTATCAAGAGGATGCCAAGAACCAGAAGGATTTAAACTGTACTTGTAAGGGGGCAGCTGCTTTAAGGAGATCCACAAATGCATCCCAATGCAACTACCTACCTAAACCAGAGATTTCATGGATAATCCAGAAGCAGTGCATTCACACGGTATATTGGGACTGACATAGAATGCAAAGCTATCAATGCCCTGCAATAGCAGCAGCTGCTTTCAAACACAAGCCAAAGGAAGGAACTTTCTTCCCCCATTTTCGTTGTTAAATCTTAGCAGCCTTGTGCTACTCTATGGAATGGCTCACGGAACTGGTTTTTTTTTTCTTTATAGTCCTACAGATCGTTGGGAGTCTTTGTGATACTGGAGAGAAAAACTGCCCGCTTGGGGTGATGGAGTGATTTTTAAACCATCTTTTGATTTTATGTGATAAATGTATGAGTCCTTAGATTAGCGTCGGGTAGCTTTAGTATAATTTACTGGTTTTCAGCATAAGAATGGGGAAGAACCACAGCTTTCAAAGGAAATTGCGGCATGCATTTTGGTAGAACAGAGCAGGAGCAAGGCAGTAAGAAAGTACACCATGTCTTTGCAGAACAAGCAGCACATTCTCTTCCTTGTGAATAACAATGCATCCAAGCTCTTTCTGCCATGGGAAGAACTTCATGGGGCATTATTTACAGAATTACCTGTAGTACAGAAAATAAAGCAGGGCTATGTTGGAATTTGGAGGAAGAGTCAAAAGCCCAAGTTGTCCGTCTAACTTTAGTTTCCTTGGCTGTGTCATTCACGTAGCTTCTGAGGCACAGACAACAGGCAAAAAAAATGTGTGTGGACCGACACCCCCTCAGCTGACACACAAGGAGAAAATTACAGTATCATTATTATGCATGTTCAGTCTATGGAGATTATGATACCTCTTGTTTTCTGTTCATTTTCTTGGAAGAACTCTTGGTTTTCCCCAGTCAGGGAAGCAACCCTCTCTCTTTAAATGACATCATGTCCCATTGTTTAAATAATCAGCTGCTGTGATAACAATGCTCTCCTCCTTTAATCTTCAGACTCTTATAGACTGTATTCTTCATGTGCTTGCCAGCATGCTTTTGACAGGAACAAGTAGGGGGACAGGACCAGGCTGGTAAGGAATGAGCAACATGCATGCTATTTGGGCAGCTGTAGCAAGCAGGGAGGAAAAATGGCGAGTTCGATGGTTTTACGGGTGTGGTCTCAGGTAGGAATATGGAGAAGGCTTAGCTACGTTCATTGCATCAGGTTTTGCTGTTGTTGTCAAAAGTAATGACATACCGCACTCAAAGGGTTACTTTCAAGCACAGCAAAGCACAGCAGCCTTGAAATTCAGGTCTATGTTGCTTGTTATTTGCATTTAAATCTAGAAAGACATTACAGTTTTATTGTCTTTTCCCCCCCCGAATTTACTTCACAGGCCTATACACATCTGCTGCTGATCTTAATATGTGCAGCATCAACTAGAAGAAGCAGAGGAGGAGTCATCCCCCCCTCAATTAACACACAGTGTACACATTTTGAACAATTCAAATGGCATCTGTTTAATGGACTTTTGTGGACAAACATTAGACTTTTGTTCGAAAATATAAGAGGGTGATAATTATTCACTTGCATGCAAATTATTTAGAACTAATGGAAATATTGTACACATAGTGTAAAAATAAATCTAAGATGTTTTTAAAGTTATAGCAGATTTAGCCCTTGCTCACACTAAATAGCTTTGCTTAAAAGCATTTAGAGTGTGCAAATGTTTCCTATAAAGATCTTCAGGCAGTTCTCCTAGGAAAGCAATAGGAACAGAAGCATATTCCTAGTCCCTTTTTGCTGTTTTATGAATGACTCTTTTTCCAGCAACTGCATTTTGCGTTTCCACTTAGTAAGATTCAGCTAGCCAATAGCTTCGGTTTTTCTGCAATGAGTGCGTAAAGAGCTTTTGAATAAAACAAAAGTTTTCCTGTCCCATCTAATCCATCTGAAGACATAAAGAAGTCACCATCATGCAAAATCATGTTTTCTGTAACCCTGCAGTATTGGGTACTCTTGGTGAAGGAACACAAACCCCTCTTGCCCAAAATTAGAGGCATCAGAAGTACAGTAGGACCCCCTATAGCCATGGGTGATCAGTTCCAGACCCTCCCCTATAGATGCTGAAAACCAACAATGGATAATAGCTACAGTAGGGTCTTGACTTGAGAACTTAATCCGTATTGGAAGGCGGTTCTCAAGTCAAAAAGTTCTCAGGTCAAATCTGCATTTCCCATAGGAATGCATTGAAAACCATTTGGGTGATCAGTTCCAGACCCTCCCCTATAGATGCTGAAAACCAACAATGGATAATAGCTATATATATATATATAGGATATATAGGATGATCTCTGGCTCCTTCTACAGGCCAGTTCTGGTAATGACACAGTGGAAATACATGTTTCTGGTTGTTATTGTTTTTAAATATTTTTTAATATTTTCAGACTAAGTGAAACTGTGGATATGGGGATTCTAATGTACACAATGTTCCTTCAGATCAGGGTAGATAAAATAAATGATTTTTTAAAAAATGGAATTGGTTTAAATCAAAATTTAAACCATGATTTTAAATCATTAAAAATCTGATTTTAAAATTTTAATTGTGATTTAAATCTGTGACATCTGTTTTATTTAAATCAAAATCTATTCTGCTTCAGATCACGTTAACATTCCTGTGATACTCAGTGGCTTTTTCAAATCATGTTGCTTGTATGCATAGAATAATTAAATTTTGCTTCCTAGGATCATAATAACCAGAGCTTGTAAAGAAAACTGATTCATTGGTGTTAAACATGAAAAAAATGGGGAGAGTAATTCATTTGCTGTTAGGATTTAAATCTGATTAAAAACGTTAATTTGTTGAAATAGCATTGCTAACTTGTTAATTAAACCATTTGTTTGAAGAGAGGAGTTTCCAGAGAATGGCATGTAGGTTGTCAGCATTGGGCTCCAGCAATACATTTTTTAAATCAGTGCCTTCAAGAAAGCTTCAGATTCCATAATCAAATTGTTTGTTAAAGTGCTGGTTCTAACACATGTGAAAACTGTCAGATTGGGGAATAACATGTGTCCTGATGCAGGATCACATCCAGAGAAGGAAACAACTATGCATAGCCAACATGACCCTATACAGAGCCAATAATTTCTTAGATAATCTTCAAATGCAGTTTGCTAGCAGAACACTGTACTGTAGATGTTTTGCTTGAAAATATAGTCTTAACAAAATGTTGTTCAGTCCCCCCAGTGTTATTTGTCACATTGTACAGATCATATTGACCAATTCCCAGGACACCCATAATTTGGTGAAAATGTCCAATTATAGGAATAAAATCATAACCATAACCAATATTAACCCTTGTCTTCCATCTTTTCCTCCCCAGGATGCAGTTTCCTAATCCAGGATGAATGAATGCCACTATGATAAACGCATGGACTTCTTTTATAACATGAGTAAGGCAGACACGGCAGACGAGTGGTCAGGGACAAGTCTTGTCATTGTTTTATGCTTTGGGACCTTCTTTTGCCTCTTCATCTTCTTTTCGAATTCACTAGTCATAGCAGCTGTGGTCAAAAACAAGAAATTTCACTTTCCCTTTTACTACTTGTTAGCCAATCTAGCTGCTGCGGACTTTTTTGCCGGCATCGCTTATGTGTTCTTAATGTTTAACACAGGCCCAGTGTCAAAAACATTATCTGTTAATAGGTGGTTTTTGCGTCAGGGACTTCTGGACACAAGCCTGACAGCTTCTCTGGCCAACCTGTTAGTCATTGCTGTCGAGCGACACATGTCAGTCGTGCGGATGAGGGTTCATAGTAACCTTACAAAGAAGAGGGTGACATTTTTCATTTTGTTGATTTGGGCCATAGCAATTTTCATGGGTGCGGTGCCTACACTGGGCTGGAACTGCATCTGTGACATATCAACCTGCTCTTCCCTCGCTCCTATTTATAGCAGAAGTTACTTGATATTTTGGACAGTCTCCAACCTGGGAGTTTTCTTCATCATGGTAGTGGTGTACATAAGAATTTACATGTACGTCCAGAGGAAAACCAACGTTTTGTCTCCCCATACTAGTGGATCCATGAGCCGCAGGAAGACTCCAGTGAGGCTTATGAAGACAGTCATGGCCGTCTTAGGTAAGAGGATGGAGACAGCTTGCATGTGTATAACATAAAAAGAAGTTCAGTCTCTTGTTTGCAGTCTCTTCTGTGGTTATGGATTCCTATTTTTATTTTCTGTTTCACTCTGCATGTGACTAGCCCCAATCCTGTCCTCTTGTGTGTTATATCATGTAATAGAGATCCCGCATCCATCATATAGAAATATACACTCTGCTATGAAGGTCTATTTATGCTTATTTGCTTTCATCTTTGCAGTTGCACAATACAGTGGTGCCTCGCACAGCAAGGTTAATCCGTTCCGGATTAACCCTCGCTGTGTGAAAACATCACTGTACGGGAAGGAAAAAGCCATTGGAATGCATTAAACTTAGTTTAATGCGTTCCAATAGCAGCTTTACTCACCGTACAGCGATGTTTTCCTATGGCCAGCAGCCATTTTCGTGAAGGTCTATTTATGCTTACTTGCTTTCATCTTTGCAGTTGCACAATATTTTTGATACAATGGGATGACTATGCAACCACTGACCTAATGCTGGATCTCAGATGTCCAGTTATATGCTCCTGTGAGTGACAACCAGTTTTAACTTATGAAGTGTCTTCCTAGTCAAAGCCACTGAAGCTACAGACAGGGGAGATATAAACTGGGAGCTACTTGCCTTTCTTGTTCAATATTTTGGTGCCAAATTGGAAATGTGTGGCATAGTCCCACGCACCCACATTCTCAGCTGCAGCATCTGTTATGATGATGTACATGTATGCTTTGTACATTAGCCGCCGAACAGCTGATCGGCGGGGCGCAAAGCAAAGGTCGGTAAGCGAACTGCTTACCGACCTTCGCTCTGCGATTTTCGCCCTATTGAGGCATCGGTGTGCGATCGCATTTGTGATCGCAAAACCGGCCTCGTAGAGCAAATTCATCGAGGCACCACTGTACTTTTGATATAGTGGGATGACTATGCAACCACTGACCTAATGCTGGATCTCAGATGTCCAGTTATATGCTCCTGTGAGTGACAACCAGTTTTAACTTATGAAGTGTCTTCCTAGTCAAAGCCACTGAAGCTACAGACAGGGGAGATATAAACTGGGAGCTACTTGCCTTTCTTGTTCAATATTTTGGTGCCAAATTGGAAATGTGTGGCATAGTCCCACGCACCCACATTCTCAGCTGCAGCATCTGTTATGATGATGTACATGTATGCTTTGTACATTCTTTTCCTTGGGGTGCTTTGCCATTCATGCAGTTGGCAGTACTGTACTTGTACATGGGTCTCCAGGTCTACTCATACCAAATCTGCTGTGTAAGTTGATACTGGATCATTGGTAGCCATGCATAAATGCAGGATGGACCAGCTTGGTACATAGGAATCAGAAACAGCAGGGGGATGTGGAGATACCCTTAGTTTCTTACTAGAGCGTGGACACTAACAACTTTCCTAAGGGATGGAGTGCACTAAACAACAAAAACTCCCAAGAGGGGACAATAGTTCACAGCTATAAAAGGCATGTTTGTACCTGAATAGTAAGCATATGGCAGAAGAATGTAGGTTAAGGCCAGCTTTTATCTGCATAGAAAGGCATGTTTGTACCTGAATAGTAAGCACATGGCAGAAGAATGTACGTAGGTTAAGGCCAGCTTTTATCTGCATAGCCAGTAAAGTATAGCAGTGAAGAATTGACCTCAGGCAGAGAAGCTCTTGAATACTGGGAAAGTGTCAGTTCTTTTGGCCATCAACAAGCTTAATAAAATAAGGTATACATGCATCGGCTGATATGGACTGGGAAAAAAGTTCTGTAGGCGAGTAACTTTCCTGCCCTACAAGGCTAATTAAAATATTGGGATGGCCTCAGTGCTAAAATTATTGGTGCCAGGGAGGGCACCGATCTATTGTGCTGATGGCAGGGTTCAGCATTCCGTAAGCCAACTCAAAAATGGGTGCCCCATCAAAAAATTATAGTTATGAAACCAGACCTTGGATCAGCACCAAATTTGGCATGGTTGTAGCAGAAAGTATGCTCCTGGTCTGTGCCACAATTGGGGACATTTGAGCAAAAGGTTTTCAAGTTACGATTTTATAAAAAGTAACACTGTGGCAGAAGAGGGTATCCTGTAGACCAGTGGTTCTTAACCTTTTTGAAAGAAACGCCCCCTTGAGCCATTGAGGAAGTTATCATCGCCCCCCTCCCCGCGGTGATGATATCTTATTTATTTATTTATTTATTTATTTATTTATTTATTTATTTATTTATTTATTTATTTATTTATTTATTTATTTAATTTCATTTTTTAAGAC